CTACTTCCCTAATGAGCTTATTGATCACCATTATCCTGCCCTTCGGCTCCTGTGGTTGAGCAATCTTCCCCAGATTTAAAGAGACATACCACCGGTACTGTGAGGATGCTGGAAGAATAACCCTTAAGCTGTTCCTCTACTCCTGCACCCAGATGTGACAGATTGTAACCAATGCTTGTATACATCAAAGTTCTGGTGAGTGCACACCCATCAGAAGTGGTGGATTACCTTTAAAGATTTATGCACTACTGCACTTGGTCACAAGAATATATTGTGTCTATATTGAAGAAAAACTTCTGCTGAATTATTTTTACTGAAATCGGAATGATCATTATGGACATTTATTAATTTATTCACTTAATGCACATATTGCACTAATTAGCACTTTATATTGTGCACTAATTACTTTAATGATTTGAATACATTGTTATACTTATATTCATCACAGCGCTGCACTTTTATATACTTTGAAAACTGCAAATCTGACTGCCCTTGGGCACATTTTAGTTGATGAAGAAAGCAGCGAGGGCATAGATTTAATTCAATTTTGTACCTACTTTGAACCTGCAGGTCCAGGATATCTGTGACCAAGAGAGAAGCAAACTGTAACAGACATTATCCCACTCTTCGGCATGAGTGCGTCCCTTCATTGTGGGATTTGAAGACTTGGCTGGCTTTGTGGGTCAAGACTGGCGCCAAAAGCAAGGGCTAAATTTATGTTGAAGCCTGGGTAGGGTCGAGAGGTTCTCTGCACTTTTAAGAAGTAAAATCTCCTGAGGAGGAGGGTTTATTGAATTTGCTGCTGTGGAAGAAGAAATGTCCCTCCTGTGACATCTTTGATTAATTTGCCAACTGCCTCAGCAAAGAGACATCCAACTTCAAAGGGCATACATGTGAGGTTTTTAGCTATAAGACTCTGTTCGTATGAATGGAGGTTAGGACCATTCTAGAAATTTGTTCCATCACATGTTCTAGAACATCCTCACAAAAGAGCAAGACAGAAGGTAATTACTCAGTTAAGGCATTGTCCTGGGATAGATAGGCAAGAACTTATCACAGTGGATAGGACATTCAAGACACAAAACTGTAATACAGAACCAATAACAAAATTAGGTGTTTTTATGAAAACCCTTAGAAATTTTTATATATCATAAAAATAAAGGCTGACAAAATACTAGTGTGTCATCGGTTAAAATCCAAACCATTTCATCAATCCAGACAAAAGAAATAGAAGTATAGTATCACATTTACTACAATGGTTGCAAGTGCAAGATCGAGCTTGATGGGATTCAGGCTTCCTCAGGAGCTGGAACAAATGTCTTGCTAACAAAATATACAGGTATTAGAATTATGATACAGCACCACACAAATTCACGCGTGCATGTCAATATACATAGTCATATCAATGACACATATAGGGTGAGTGAACCATCTTATCAGCCTATAATAAAAATAAAGCAGTCATTATCTCAGCATTCAGGGAGACCCTTAATGACCACAGAAGGAGCAATATGATCAGCAAGGACCTAAGACATACCAAATATGTACATGACAATCCCCTATTTCCCTGAAAATCGATAGAAAACCCTCTAAGCGACAATCCCAGGGAAAGGTAGAAATTATGTCAATTTGGCTCCCTTGAAGGCCAATGATAGATAAATCATAAAAAAGGACCAAATGCCCAGCTAACAAAAAACAATAAACGGTATAGTCCTAAAATAATTCTCTGAAAAAAGGGCCATGATGAAGAACATATAGTCCCATATAGGACAGATGTAGAAGATGAAAGTCCACACTTCAGGATCCAGTGGTATAGGAATTGGTGGTCAGTCACCTAGGTAACCCGTACATGCATCTGCAAATAAAGAGGTGGCGTTCCTGCAGAAGCACAGTCACACCCTTGAGCTTGCATCTGTGATGCGATTAGTCTGTCAATAACCTCTGCTGTTCCTGCCCCACAGGATGCAGAAATTAGTAATGTGGGGCTTCTAGCAGGGTGGGAGAATAACCTCTCATTCACAGATGCTGGAGCCACCCCACAAGATGCTGGAAATAGTCATGTGGGGCAGGATCAAAAAGGGAGAAATGAGGAAGTGAGTTGGGCCTCTTCAGAGAAAAAAAAACAGAACATGCAAACTAAGAGTGGCAATGTAGGAGATAGAGGATTGACTGTGATATTGTTTCCACTCAGAAGTAGCAATGATAATAAACTAAGAGTGATTTCTCTGTAAGGGAGAAGAGGTGATGTAGGATTATAGAGGAGGCACATAGAAGACACACTATTGCCAATGCGCAATCACCTGAAGGTACAAGCCAATAACTTGCACTCTATAAATAATCAGCATATGTCTTCGAAAAATCAGGTAGCCACTGAGACCAGAAACTGCATCACGGTGCCCCCACCAGCAGACCCACTGCTTGCACCAGGCACAAGCAACCCCCACCAACCGACGCCCCTGACATGCAGCTCTGGACGCTAGGCAGCCAACCATGGATAGATTTTCACATGTTCCGGTGTGGGCTGCACCCCCAGATTTCAGTTGTTGATGTTGGAAGGGGTGGGGGGGCTTGCGGAATAGGTGTGATGAGGGGCTGTTGGTGCCTGGAAGGGTAATACAGAGGGCATGTTAGAAAGCTGGATTGGGGAAGACTTGTGCTAGCAGTGGTGAATTATCCCCACAGCGCTGGAGACAAGAAGAGAGGCAAGCAGAATCCAGCTCACTCACCATGCCATACACACCAAAAACTCCAGCCCCAACAACCTCAAGTGTCAAATCCCCACACCTATGAGAGCACCAAATGGACATCCATCCCCCAAAACCATTTAATGAGAAAGCCGTCCCACCCCAGCAGCACCGCAACTGAATGAGATAGCCACCCGACCGCCAAATAAATCAAGTATTTTTTTTTAGTTAGAAAAAACTGGCTAACTTTTTTAGCTGGCTTCTAGATTAAAAGCAAATTTGTCAAGCCCTGAATTAAGATACAAAGTTTTGGTACACACATTTGTCAATGCCATCCTAAAAAACAGGCGCATTCTACAATGGGATCGTCAGTGCTTTAAGAAAGGATTGGATCCACAGCAAGTATAGTCTACTTTTTAATGATCAAATATGTATAGGACTGCCAAAAATTAGGGAGCTGTGCAAAGCTTAGGAGTCTCTCAGTCCATATAAAGGTATGCTTATGGACTCTGTCGTCAGAGTAAGCAAAGATAAAAACTTCCCATGAAACTTAAAAAAAAAAATCTACCAGGATAGAACCCAGAAGGTGTGATGCCTCATGGTGTTAAAGAAGACTTCGAAGAGTGCAGGGATTCATGCAGAGGACAACATTCCAGGCTGTCTGTGTCAGACCCTCCAGGCAGAAATGGAGCTTTTAAGAGGTCATGAGCTGAAGGATCCCTATGTGCCTGGGATCTGACAGATTGTGCTGCAAGGTACAGACAGCATAACTCAGGGTACAAGGCTAGGCACTGAATACTCATTAACTGGCTGTTGAGAGCAGGACAGATTCACACAGCTGGAGGTGGTCAGGTCATTGAAGGTAGACAGCATGTTCCAAGCGTCAGTTGTGTTCAAGCAGTGGAAGGAATGTGTTACCTTACAATGAATGGCGGCAAAAAGAGCACTAAATCCCTCAGCCATAAACTGACAGAAAAAGTAAGGATAATAATGGTGCCCAACGGTCCTGTTTAAAAGAAAGCTCACCTTGCTAGGCACAGCCTACCCAAGAAGCGAGTCTTCAGAGATAGAGAACACCATGACTAAATAAAACAATACACAGGTTTAGAAAAAGGCCACGATGTGAAGCCAAGTGCCTGAAGATCACATTCTAAGCTGGCCCCACAATTGTATAGTTCAACGGAGTCCGACCGAGGCCTCCAAAGCTATTAATAGGGAAGTCAATAGCAGAATGCGTATTTTAAAAAAATATCTTGAATGCCAGAAAAATAGCTGGCAAAAAAATGGTTAAACCTTTCTCAGTAGATGAAAAGCATTCACCCTCTTAGAATATTAGCAACAAAAAAAAAAAAAAAAAAAAAAGGATATGCATACTGGGAGTAGGACAGACTTGTCACTTTTTGTTTGCCAATGTTCAAATCCTCCTGTAGGCGAAAATATATAACCCAAGTTTATGAATCCTATGTCCCTTAATGAACAAGAAAGAAAAGCAATTTACTTAAAACTGTAAAGAGTCAGGCATCATGACAAAGATAATGAAAAAAATTATTTAGAGCTTACATATACCTTACGAGCATTTTTAATCTTCTCCGCATGCTCCCCAGCTGCTCCAATCTGCTGCCGCAGCAATACCACTATAAGTCCACATATGGGAGAACATACGTTGGTGCTTTTTTAAGTGTTCCTACTGTAAAGTGAAACTCTTACACTGCCTATTGTGGTTCAAGTTAAACAACATGCTTCATATTAATTTTCTGTCTATTTAATTCACGATGTGCCTGTAACTATTGGACATTTGCTGATGAAATAAATCTAGCCCAACGTGATTGCATTGATGCCATAAGCCTAGCAACATATATCGTACCAGGAATCCCTGTTTTTATGCAAAGCTTGACAGTAGTGTGAAAGAATGTTTAGCAGTTTGAACATGATTAAATTAGATTGTATTTACACACACACACATTTTAGTGTTTAAAACATGCAGTTGTTCATACACTATATTGCCAAAAGTATTGGGACGCCTGCCTTTACATACACATGATCTTTAATGGCATCCCAGTCTTAGTCCAGGTTCAATGCCGAGTTGGCCCACCCTTTGCACCTATAACAGCTTCAACTCTTCTGAGAAGGCTGTCGGGTACTGATGTCGGATGAGAAGGTCTGGCTCGCAGTCTCCGCTAATTCATCCCAAAGTTGTTTTACTGCGTTGAGGTCAGGACTGTGCAGGCCAGTCAAATTTCTCCACCCCAAACTTGCTCATCCATGTCTTTATGGACCTTGCTTTGTGCACTGGTGATCAGTCATGTTGGAACAGGAAGGGCTATCCCCAAACTGTTCCCACAAAGATGGGAGCATGAAATTGTCCAAAATGTCTGGAACTAAGGGGCCAAGTCAACCCCTGAAAAACAACTCCACACCATAATCCCCCCTCCACCAAACTTTACACTTGGCACAATGCAGTCAGGCAAGTACCGTTCTCCTGGCAACTGCCAAACCCATACGACATGTCCATCGGATTGCAAGAGAAAGAAGCATGATTCGTCACTCCAGAGAACACGTCTCCACTGCTCTAAAGTCCAATGGCAGCGAGCTTTACACCACTGCATCTGACGATTTACATTGCACTTGGTGGTGTAAGGCTTGGATGCAGCTGCTCGGCCATGGAAACCCATTCTATAAACCTGTCTACGCACTGTTGTGCTAATCTGAAGGACACACGAAGTTTGGAGGTCTTTGGCTATTGACTTTAGCTATGCGTCTTCTGTGCACTGTGTGCTTCAGCAACCGTTGACCCTGCTCTGTAATTTTACGTGGCCTACCACTTTGTGCCCGAGTTGCTGTTATTCCCAGTTGCTTCCACTTTTTTATAATACCACTAACAGCTGACCGTGGAATATTTAGTAGCAAGGAAATTTCACAGATGGTCTTATTGCACATGTGGCAACACATCACAGTACCACGCTTGAATTCAGTGAGCTCCTGAGAGTGAACCATTCTTTCACAACTGTTTGTAGAAACAATCTGCATGCCTAGGTGCTTTATTTTATACACCTGTTGCCATGGAGGTGATTGAAACACCTGAATCCAATGATTTGGAAGGGTGAGGGGTGTCCCAATAATTTTGGAAATATAGTGTACATTGACATGTCATTGTTCATGCATTTTGTGAGGAAAAATAAAACAACAAAAACACAATACATTACATTTACCATTAGAAAGGCTAAATGTCCTATTTTCAAAGGCTCACACAGTAATGAACAGGTTTACCGTCTGGACAAGCTTCACATCACCTGCTTGCCACCCTTCCCCGATGTTTCATACTGCAAACTTACCCAAAAAGTTTGTAAGTTTATGTCTAGCTCATCCATTCCCATCACCTAAGCACAGTTGGATTGTGCGTCAGCATCAGACCACCCTGTTCAATCTATGGGTAGATATGAAATCACATCCTCCAAAAAGAATGTAGTGCTGTATAAAAGGATACCAATATCTCCCTGAAAATCACTCTTACTTTCTTATCACCACATTATAGAAGGGAATGCACAAATCTGAGCTGGGCTCCAGGATTTTTGTCATTTGTATTGTGATTTTTATCTTCTGTCCATCAGTGCGACGTTCACTCTCCAAATCGACAGTCTGCAGACAAAAGAAATTTACACAGCAAATATGTTTTGTTTAATTGCCTCCTCTTACATTATGGTTTCAAATTTCACAGTATATACACAAAGCACATGTGAAAAGGGATCCTAGATCTGCAGAGTAAATTAAAATTCTCTGAAAAGTAATCTGCAATCGATGACTTTTCAAAAAGTAGTCAAAAAGCAGTTTGCAGGAGGCATATGATACTGCTGCTTCCTGAATGCCCAATTTTTTTTTCCCCTCAATAAGGGGGATTTTACATTGCAATACCTTTAGCACATACAGTATTTACAGGGCAGCTCTATTAATATCAATGGGCATGTCTAGCAAGCGGCACCACTTGCCAAAGGCTGTGTTAAATGTGCAGCATTGCAGCCACAGCAATGTGTACGGGCCTCAGTGGCCATCAAGTTAATTTGTAAGTAGGTATTTGGGGAGTGGTAAATGTGGAACATATCACCTTTATTCCCAACCTTTTTTGTCCTAAATAAAATTAGCCAAACTGTTGTAGTTTTTACAATTTATATTTCTATTTTGGAGGAATTAACTTTGGAAAAATAGAGATTTTGGGGAATATTTTCTAAAACTGGAGTGAGCAAAATCTTGTACTTAGTTGAACAAGCTGAAGTTAGAAGCTGATTGGCTTCCTTACACAGCTGCACCAGATTCTGAATGCACCAGTTTTAGGAAATCAACCCCTTTGTGCCTTCTGTTTAAGGGATGTTTCACAATATAGAAAAGCAGTCCAGATGCGTTCCAGATGTGTTTTTTGCATTCGTGTTTTTGGCGCGTTCTGGTGAGTTTTTGATGCGTTTTTGAAGCATTGCAGTGCGTTTTTTTATGCATTCCAGTTAATTTTTTCTCCTCTTTTTTTTCTTCAATTTAAATAGGGACATGTGCATTCCAGAGCGTTTTTGGTGTGGTCCAGTACAGTTGTGTGCAGGAAAAATGACAAATGTTCAACTTTTTTTTCTGCATCCGGAATGCACTGGAACTGCAAGCACTGATGTTAACTATGATATGGACAACCATATAACCTACTTCCTGTGCATTTTGGATGCAGAAAAAAGCAACTGAAATGCATGTAGTGTGGGCTGGCCCTAAACCTCTGGCTTTAAGGTTATGTTCAAGTTCTCCCTGTGCTCTTCTGCCAGAGGACATGTCAAGTAATGCAATGTAGATAAACAACCAGGCATGACTCAAACACTGCTTCCACTGTCAGGACATGATGGCAGGAAGCCTGAGCCAGTGAGTGGAGAACGGTCTATGAAGTACATTCTCCTTTATCTGACAGCTGAGCGGAACTTGTTGAGAGTTGCAAAACACAAACCCAGCATACCTATGAATGTTGTCTAAAATCTAAAAGTCAGACCCTGGGATGCATAAAGATTGGTACAGAAGATTTTGCGACAGTGTCTCAAGTGTTCTAAATCTGGTGCAGCATGTGCCAAACTGAAGTACTTGTATAGAACTTGTACTTGAATTAGGCACATTCTAGACCACTTAATACTGCACACAATACACTTTCACAAAATCTTCCAATATTTGTTCTACAGGAGGTAGTTCGATGTTGAATCTGGAGACCAGGATATCCACATCCGGGATCCCCTAATTTCTGACATAAGTTGACAATGTTGGAGTGAATGTACCATTTCCCTTTATTTAGGCGGTGATGGCTGATTTTGCTTGCTTCATTTAAGACAGCATGACTCCTGTCCCTCTTGGTTGTTGATGCAGGCCACGGCTGTGGCATTGTCTGATTGCACCCTGATAGCATGTACCTGTAGGAAGGGGGTCCTGTATAGTAGACATTTTGATTACTCTGAACACCAAGATGTTGATGGAGAGCTTGGCTTCAGCTAATGACCATATTCCCTGGACTGTGAGGGACTGGAGCACTCCTCATCAGCCTGAAAAAGACTGACATCTTTTGTTATCACTTTCCAGTGATAAGGAAGGAAGAACATCTCAAATGTAAAGGCTGGACTGGAGATCCATCAAGCTAGAAAGTTTGGTACTTGGCTGAACAGGAGCATAGATAAGTTTAGAGAGGGAGCACGCATGCTCCAAGTTCACAAAAAGTTGTGCTAGAGTGGTTACAAAGGGATGTATTCAGGATCAGAACCAAGTATTCCAGGTGAAGAGAGGGCTGGAGAATAGAATTACAGAAATTGATCCCCCAACCGAACAACGAGCACTTGAACTACCCTGTGGACGTTGGCAGATAGCAAGGAAGAGTGCTTCAGGATAACATTGTCAAGATGACCTCTGACCTGAGTTCTTACAAGGCCAAGAAGAGGTGCTAGGACATTTGTGAATACGCTGGAAGCAGGGAATAGGCCAAAAGGCAGTGCCAAAAAAAGAAAATTAGTCTTGGACTGAAAAATGCAGAAAACACTGATGTGTATAAATGGGGACATGGAAATAGGCATTTCGGATGTCTACAGATGCTAGGTATTTTGTATATAGGAGTTAGTAACTGATTCTGTGGATTCTATGTAAAATTTTGGAATTTTAAATATGTTCTGGGATTTTAGGTCCAGAAAAAGAATACACCCTTTGGGCTTTCATATTAGGAACAGATTTGAAAAGAACCCTTTGAACAGTCTTGTGGAGATATTTACAATTTCCAATAGAAGTCACATGTTGGAGAGAAAATCACTCCTAGCTCATTTGAGGATTATCTGAAGGACAGTATCAACCCCTTTGGACTACGGATCCAAAATTTTCCTTCATTTGATAATATTGACCCGAATTTCAAATTAGAACGGGAAAGTTTTTGAAACAATGTTCCGACACCATGATGTCATTATTAATCAAAGAATACCAGGAACGACTAAAAGATCTGGTAGCAAAATTGATAGTTTACAAAGCCAAATTACAACTGTGAAACACACACGGAGTCTGAGAGCAGACTCAAACATCTGGAAAAATTTAATAAAGACATACTCATTGCAATAGGGAAAAAAACGCTTCAATTAGATAAAAAGGCCTTCCAGGATGGTAAGGCTTATATAAATGGCATCATGGACAGAACCTTAGGAAATTATATAATAATGCATCTAACGTAACTAATAATTTTGCTGCATTGGAATCTTCTATTTGTTCCTCCGTGTCTTTTTCCTCTCAGTCTTCTTTTAATCAGCACAAAAGTAATAGGCAACAAAAACGTCACCGACGTGGTGGTCACGACAATTCTCCTACCCTGGACTACTCTTCTTCTGCACATTCATGTAACATGTATGAGTCTGCACATGGTGATATGGTAATCTCTCATAATTCTAGATCTGTAGACAAAGTTCCTCACAACGATAAAAGCACCCATTATTAAAATCAGGCACTATACACTCTTCTTCTCAGGCACAGCAAACCATTTTCTTAGGATAAATACGTGGAAACCTGTAAATGCACCAAGGAAATATCAAAATGCTTGCCAAAAAAAAAAAAAAAAAATCACTAAATCCAATAAAAACAAACTTCACTAAACGTTGTTAATCTTTAGTCCGGAACATTATCACAGAATGACAAATGTACTGTCTCCAAACTTTCTAAACAAAGGGCCAGTTTACGGTCCTTGAGTATTAAGGGGGGCCGGAATAGGGTCAAGGGAATAGAAAATGTCCTGGCATCCAGAGGGTGTAAACAATGCCCTATCTTTGTCAGTAGGATAACTAGTGCCCCATCGTTCTCAGTGGGAAAGACTAGTGCCCCATCTTTGGTGTCAATGGAAGGAATTCTGCCCAATGGTTGGTGTCAGTGGGCAGAATAGTGCACCGTCATTGGTGTCAATGGGGGAGGAATTGTGCCCTTTCTTTGATGTCAGTGGGAGGAATAGTGCCTCATTGTTGGATGTCAGTGGGAGTAACATTTGCCCATCATTGGTATCACTGGAAGGAGTTATGCCCCCTTGTTGGTGTTAGTGGGAGGAATTGTGCCCTTTCAATGGTGTCAGTGGAAGGAATACTGACAGCAACAGAAATTATGCCCCATTTTTGTCAGAGGATAGAATAGTGCCCAAGGGCTGGATAAAGACAAGCAAAAAGGGCCACATTTGGCCCCCGGGCTGCAGTTTGGAGACCACTGGTCTAAAGGTCTCATCTTTTGCCCAGACCAATGTCTGGACAAATTTAAGGTTACGAAAGACCTGCAACCTTTTGATCGTAACTTACTTCTTAGAAGTTTATGTGCTAAAAAAACAGTCCTGTTAACTCCCTAGGCTACAATGATGATCTTCGAGCATTGGACCATTTGATTTCTTTGCTTGAGTAGAATGAATCAATTGATTTGATTGACAGGATTTTCAATGACAAACTACTGAAAGAACCAGGTGGACAACTGGGTACTTTGGTACCCAG